TGACAGTACCATCACGAGTTTGACGCCTAAGCAAGGATATGTCTCCTTTGTCTCTAACCATTTTTTTTCCAAAGTCAAAACGTATTTCCCAAAAAATTAAAAAAAACTAGTCATCTAAAGGAAAAAAAAATCTATTTACCAATTACGAGCAGGTATAATATCTACAATCAAGAACTATAATATGAATTCCGATTTGATTCAGTCCAAATATTTTGGTATTTAGATTTAAATAGAAAAATACCTGAATCCAATCCGAATGCGTTTTTTATATATAAATATATATATATATATATATATATGTATATGGATGTATAAAATTTGTATATGTTGGCTATAAATAGTTTAACCATTTAAAGTATCACTAAAATGAAGTATATATTGAAAAGTTGATATATTTTGTTAAGAAAAAACTATATCCTAAATATAATTAAATAGCTTTTTCCGCTAAGATAATTGTTCTATGGATATGGATCAGAATATATTTAAAACATCCTATCTGTGCTTACTCCTACTACACCAATAATACAGATGTTACAATTACACAATACACAAGATAAATTTGCACTAAAGTAGCAATGGGTATAATGATATTGTGTTTATATATGAGACTGTATTTATGAAGATGGTCGTGACTTGGCACATATATTTTCCAAACCAATTTTACACTTTATTTTAATTATTACGGAAATATTGTTGTTTCTTTTCATTTTTATGTTGTGCTTATTTACTTGCTTTATTACTATTATTATTTTGGTAAGGTACTTGCTTTATTATTTTGGGCCTATGATTTACTGATATAGCTGTATGGTTTTACTTTTACTGTCATAACATATAGGCTGCAAGTTTTGTTTTATGTAGTTTTAGAATTTTGACTATATATATTTTTTAAGGAAGAATTGATAAATATTAATATGATGTAGATTTATATCATCGTTGTTTATATTAAAAGTTGATTGATATAAGAGAAGCCATATGTACTCTTTTTACCGTAATATTTAATGTTAATAATGTGTTAGACTACTTGCAAAAAGCTTACAGAATCATGTTTTCAAAACGTGAACAAATGAACATGTAGTATATACCATTGGTCATGGTACTCAACTTGGACCAAATTGCATTATGATTTCGAGAAATTTGCCTCACCCCTGAATTGTAATGCACTAGTTAGTCCTCTACTTGTCGAGCCATCGTTCAGATTATTGTAATGCACTAGTAAGCCCGGTCCAAAGGCCCAATGCAGGCCTGCTTGAGAACTCTCTAACAGCCTACTATCTTTTTCACTCAGAAATTCAAGAAGTCTGATCAAACTAGCTACAAAGGAGAAGATCCAACAAGTACACAAAACATATAGATGAAAAACAGATGTAAATCCTTAATGATCATGAATCATGTGATCATTTGATCACAAAATTATTAGTAACTTAAGCTACGAGGATAATATTAGTAATAGATTGAAAATTTCATAATTTAATACACACTATCATTATTAAAATCCATATATTACAAGCTAAGAAAACAATCAACAATTGGATCTAGCTCTAATATTTTATTTTGGTATATCTTATTTTAGTATATTTTATTTTAGTAGGTGTGGGTCTAACTTACACTCAAGTTAACTCATATGTGGAGAAAACAAAATTTAATATATGAGAACATGCAATATTGACATATGATTTTTTTTCCCTGTTAACAACATGCAATATTGAAAAAAAAAATTGAATATAAGTTAACTATTTCATATATAACATATAACTTTTAGGGAGTAAGAGTCTAGTGTGTAGAATTTATTATTTAGTTTTGAAGGTTGAAGGTTGAAGGTTGAAGGTTGTAACTAAATTTATAGTATTTTTGGAAACCCAAAGCTTAAGTGTTGTATTTAGAACATAGAACAAAGTTTAAGTGTACGTACTTTTGATATAATTCCCCTAACTATATAACTCGATTTAAACTATAGAAAATAGCTCCTTTTTTTTTGCATTTTCGTTATACGTCTTATTCGAAAGTGCCAAAAATAGTTCATCAAGAAAAAATAATCATCAGGAGTCCAGAAGATTCAACGTCATATATTTTTACTGATAAAATTCAAAGATGATGTATCCACTATTAAATAGGCTTCAACAGTGAATATCTCTCTCTAGATACAAATAGTAAAAAAATCGCATTTCAGAAACTCAAGAGCGGCAGGAAAATAATAGAAAGCATATCACCAAAATTATGAAATCCACTTCTTGTAAATATACAACTCTATAGTTGAAGTAACTGTGCTCAGTGGGAGATTGTACTAATGCCATTAAAATGGGAGACACATTGATGCAATATTTTAACACATTAATGAGTAAAAGCAAAGTTGAATATAAAGAAACTATAAACACATAGTGGATAAAGTGAGGACGAGCCAATCTTTAACACCAAACATGTTCCAGACATGTTTCTTACCATTAGATTGTGTCCAAATTTGAGAACATCATTGAAGGAAATAACCATATCTGTTCACTTTTCATCGTGTTCCTCCTTTAGTAAATTTACATAGAGATAATAACTTTTGTGTGGGAAAGAAAATGTTGGTGTTTTGTTTCCTGTTCGTGTACTGTGACAATGATTCCGTAAATTAATTTTTCGATATATATATATAGAACATTCGAGCTTTTCTTTTATATGGTTAATCTCATACTAATTAGTTAATTATTGTTATTTGAATAATTCTATTTGTTAGTAATTAGGATATATTTCAATTTTACATTTGGTGTTAAAAAAAACTAACAAGCTTATAAGATGGTTTCTCTGATATATTCATCTTCATGTTCTTAACAATTTTTACAAATTCTGCATCGTTACGTATCGTCTTCATTCATTTCTTTCATATATACATATCAGGTTCGACTCATTTTCAAGATTTAATCTCGGATCATTAAGCCTTCTTCATGCTCATTCTATGTAATGTCATACATGTCTTCGCGTTCTATATTTGTTTTCGAACACAAACATGTCATTCTAATATAACTTGCTAGTATTCAACATGAACTATATCGTCATATCCAAAATTATACTTTTAAAAATTGATTGAAAACCAAGAAATTATACGCAAATATGATATATATATATATATATATTTATAGGGTTCATCATTATATGGGAGACCTAAGTCAAGTTTTTGTCGCACCTAATTTCACTATAAAAGACAGTTTAGTAATGACAACTTTCTATCTTTTTTAATCCATCTCGCCCTACAACCATAGAAAACAACGACAAAGAATAAACAGGGAAACAAACCCTAGCTAAGACAAATAATTAGACCTAAAATAGCTTTAATGAATATACTTTGATAAAAAATATAAAGATTCCACAAAGACCACAACTGAGAGTAGAACTTGGTATGGTTTTTTATAGTATCTTTTCGTTGACAAAATATAACTAAAATTTAAAATTATTATATATTTTTAATGATATATCATGAACATAATAGGGAAGATGTGATTATATATTTAAAATTTTTCTAGTATATAAATATAGAAAGGAGTTCCCATGTTAAAATTACATCAGTTTTATCAGATAATAATATGATACAGTATTGTCTTATTATGTATATATTATTTATAAAATGTATTAGTATAACATATTATTTCTGTGTAGTGTTAATATTGTATGTAGCATATCTATATTCATATTTCAGAAATAGAAAAGCATAAAAGAGAGAAGAGAGAAGAGAAAGGTGTAAATCCATAAATTGTTTGTATTTGATACCTTGTAATGTTTTTCATATGAGAAAATTGTGGGCATTTCCTGAACAGTAACAAAACTTCTAAAGAATGCCACTTAAAGAAATCCCTTCTCCCGCCTGCCACAAGAGCTTTGTAAAAAGACCAACTTACCCCATTATCTCTCTCTTCTTCTTCATCTTCATCTTCATCTTTTTTTTTCTTATTCCAACAACACACAGTGCCGACGGACGAGATCCGACGTACGAACTCCGACGGACCAGATCCGGCGGACCATAGCCAATTCCGGTGAACTATAACCAGTTCCGTAGACAAGTTTCGGTAGACCATATTCGACGGACCAGTTCTGATAGACCATAACTCCAACAGACGAGTTCCGGCAAACCACAAACAGTTCCGGTAGACCACAGTCCGGCGGACAAATTCTTGGGGACCAGATCCGGCAAACCTGTTCCGACAGACGAGATCCGATGGACCAGATCTGATGGACCCGAATCGGTAGACCAAACTTGTCTATCATACAGTTCTCTTGAAACCACAAATAATTGAGTAGAAGATGAAACAAGTGATGCATTTATGGAAGATATCCATCAACGATCTATCTAGGTGTACACTTTGGATTACACATTTGTGCGTAGATGGACTAGATCTGGTGGACTAGATCCGGTGAACCAGATCCGATGTTTGTAATATGTCCATTTTTGTTTCCTAATTTATTGTCCATCATACGTATAGAGTAAAGTATATCTAGTTTTTCATAAACGAACTTGTCCACAATACATATGTTAGATGAATAGAAAAGAAATTGTCCATAATCGAGTGTGGACAAAAATCAAAGAACGTCGACAAAAAAAAAACTTGTCTATTGATTAATGTCCGTAAAAGTCTTTTTTTTTTTTTCCTTCCTTCCTATTTTTGCAAAACTCACTCAACACTCACTCAAAAATGCTGAGGGAAAAATCGTCCAAATTTCCCTCTTTGTGTCACGTTTTGAAAGACATTATTGATAATGGCACTTCCACAATTTTGAGTTTCCAAAATGGCATAATACATAAAATTTCCTTTTCATATTATAAGTTCGACTACTTTTAAAAACTATGGTGCTAGTTGATATGTTGTTTCTAAGATTATTAGTAATAGTTTAATTTTTTTTGTTAAGTGTTCTGTTTATATGTTTTAGCATGCAATAAAAGCGTTTACCGGGGAAAAAAAAAATGTTGCGGACATATTTAATTCAAATTATTAAAAAGAGTATACAAGAAGTAAGACTACGAAATCCAAAGATTAAGACAATAATTTATTTATATTAATTATATATAGGAGATGCATGTTAATAGGTTATATGATATGTATTGTACATTTTATGCATCAAGCTATATGTTCTCATCTCCCACCACATTAGTGTTGTTGCTTCTCGAAGACTTAATGTTCCAACGAGACCAAAAGAGATAGCTAAGAAAGTTCAAGAGACTAAGCACCGCTAAAAGCCAATAAAACAGATCGAGCCTGTCCTTATTCAGATCGTTCTCCCCGAGCCACCCTTTTGAGTCGACCGACGTAGAAGTGATCTTGTTTACGACCGAAACGAGCACCGAGCTGAAGTAAAACCCAAAGGCGTAGGAACAATAAGTTAAGGCCATCAAGAATGATTCCATGCCCTTTGCAGATTGTTTGTAAAAGAACTCGATTAATCCAACGGCTGTAAACATCTCAGAGATCCCAAAGATCAAGAACTGTGGCGTGATCCAGAAGATACTCAAGATATTACCGTCAAGAACTGAAGAGTCTCTACGCTTCTTCTCGAGCATGGCAGCTGAAACCATAGAGAAAGTGGAGAGGAAGAGTCCAATCCCTATCCGAGTCAATGGAGGTATGCCTGAGTTATGTCCTGTGAGCTTACGTGCAAAAGGGACTAAGAGAGAGTCGTAGAGAGGGACGAGGAATATGAGCATTATGTAAGGGATGGCCTGGAGTGAAGCCGGAGGGATGTGGAAAGAATTTGAGAGACGAGTGTTCATGGAACTTCCTTGTTGGACTGAAAACGTTTGGAGCTGAGCCAAGATGGTGTTGAAGACGATGGTGCTTGCGAAGATTGGTACAAGTGAGATTAAGGTTTTTACTTGCTCTACTTGTGTTACTGTGCAGAGCCTCCATGGACTCTCCTTTGTGTTTGTGTCTTGGGTTTTGATGCATGCCTTGTCCAAGAAACTGCGCAAACGTTAAATACAATAATTAAATTTTATTATATTACGTACGTACGTGTGAATTTTTTTGTATCATAAAATAATATTATTACTCTAACACTTTTAAAGATGTTAATACTTCTTAATTTTTTTTCGATTTACAAATGAATCTGATTAGAAACAGATTTAAAGTTTTGGTTTTACTAGAAAAATAGGTAGACATTACACGTGGGATATGTAAACAGAAACAACCAATGTTTGGAATCTTTCTATTCAAGTTTGTGTTCTGTCTTAATTATAAGAAAAAATAGATATAATTATCTATAAATGATGAAATGAAAACGACCAAAAAGTGAAATATGAATGATATAGAAAAAGTGAAATAATGAGTTCAGTGTATGACTATGACCTGAATCGAGGAGTGTGTGGTAAAGTGGAGGACGGTACGACGTCGTTTGCAACATGAAACATTCTTGGGTCAGAGGGTGACACAAGCTTTCTTTTTAATATAGCAGCCACAACAACCTGAAAATACAAAGACCATGACATATGAATATGTGTATATATTAATATATATGGATATATTATTTTGTAAATGCATTTATACAAATATTAGTGACACTAAAGAAGTGGATATCAGTTTTTATTTTCAAAACGCACAATTATAATGTTTTGCTTAAACATCAACTTCTCTCTTTTCATATGAGTCAGCATGGACCAAACTGTTTCAGCATTGTCTTGTCCACACACGTGACCACAATCCCCTCACTTTGAATATATGATCTATGTATGTTCCTAACTTTTCCTCTAAACAAAAGCCAAGTGGGTCGATATTTCCTTTGGCGTATATCGATTTGTACACATGTGAAGTTTTGTTTCTTATAAAAAGAATGTCAAATTTTCAACATCTTTGAAAATCATAAATTTATAGAGTTATGAATGGTCGGACATGTTCAGATAAAAACATGATAGAGGTTCAGATAAAAACATGTGTTAACAAAATGATGATCGACCATTTAGTAACTTGTAACGTTAATCATAAGCCGTAAGTTTTGAACCAAACATACTCGGGGATTTGTCAACGATAAGGGGGTCAACATTAGCGTAAAATATGGAATGTGTTCGTTCTTTTACGACTGTATATGTAAAGTGTTATTATTCCTTTGTAATAGTATAAAATCATAATCAACTTGTTTAAGTGTTTGGTTATAATTAGTATCCGGTAGAGACAGAAGTCAACTCTATAGTTTATATGTGTGTGGTTGGTCTTAAATTTATCCATATAAAATATGCTCACGGGTCCAACTTTAGATGTATGGACTTACGTATACATACGCATGCAGACAATATTGCAAAAAAAAAATCTCATCAGATTTTTGTTTATTTTTATATATTGTCTTTTGACACATATTTTTCTTAGAAGTCAACTATTTTGGTAGTTAAAAAACCCAAGAGAATGATTTTGTAGGTAATTTTTTTTATAATCATATTAAAGTTATGTAGTTTAGTAAAAATAACTACGGAAATAAAGTCATAATGAATCTTTTTTAAGAAAAATTACGTTACCAAACTTCTCTCCTAGTTGAAAAAAAAAAAAAAATCAAACTTCTCTCCTACAGAAAAATATATAATATCTTTAAAAAAGAAAATAATGTGATTTTTTATTTTTTTTTGGTTTTAGAAAATAATGTGATTTATTATAACGGTTGTAAGATTAACCTAAAATCTATGTTATATCAATATCTCATTTTTTTTTGGAATAATTGGCAATATAGTATGTTTTCAAAACATAATATGCTATTTGATACATTCACTATTTATAATTTGCAAAATACACATAAGTCACTATTCACTTTTGCACACATCCCTGTTTTGCCATTATTATATCCATCTATTTACTATTAATGCCACTGAACATTTATCCCCCCCAAACCGAAGAGATCAACTCCCACTTTTAATTAATATTTTTTTTTTCTTTTTTTATTTTTTTATTAAATTTCTCCTTCAATCTTAAAACTAAAATACTAGTAAATGAAAATTTGAATTTTTTAAAATTTCAGATATATAAAAATCTATGTTTTTTTCTCTATTATATGATATGCATTTTGTTTGATGATTTTACTTGATAATAACAAATAATTTTTATAAATTTTAGATCTGTACAACTTACTAAGTGTACAGATGTAATCCGTACAACCTAAAACGTGTATATATGTATATCTGTACAACTTAATAAGTGTACATATATTAGTGTACATGTAGTAAACAATTGTACATGTATTTGTACAATAGGATATATGTACAAATACAATTGTACAGATCAAATTGTACACTTATTATATGTACAGAAAAATGTAAGTATAACAACTGTATACAATAATATATGTACATATATAATTGTATATATATTGACTATTATATTGCATTGTACACGTATTTGTACAATAGGATATATGTACAAATACAATTGTACAGATCAAACTGTACAATTATTATATGTACAAAAAATGTATGTATAACAACTGTATACAAAAATATATATACAGATATAATTGTATATATATAGACTATTATATAAATTTAAAATCATTTAACAAAATGCATATCAAATTGTAGAGAAAAAAATATAGATTTTTTTGTTTGTGAAAAATATCAAAAATAATATATATATTGGTGAACATTTTAGTTATTAGATTGGAATGGTGTAATAAAAAGAAAAAGAAAATAATTAAAAAAAAAATCTATTACACACCTCTCTTTCTCTCCAAAACAATCGACTCACACCAACAAACACATGCCCTATTTTTGTCTTTTCACCAAACAACCTCTTACCCCACACAAAATTCTATTACACACAACACTTATTACACAACACCTATTTTGCAAATTATGAATAGGAAATGTACTAAATATCATATATTGTTTCAAAAACGTACTAAACAACAAATTTACCCTTTTTTTTTTATTTTTTTTTTGTTGCGTAAGATTTTTAAAAGACAACATAAACTTACTTGGACAATGGGAGTGAAGATGCTTCGACGTGGACGTTTGTTACGAAAATACATAGTACCGGAGACTAAGCTAATGAGGCCCAAAGTCATGGCTGCAGCAGAGACTCCGAACCCAATGTCCATGCCCGAATGAGTTTGAACCCATACAAGGAGAGTTAGAGCGATAAGCTCGCCCATTGAGAATGCGAAATAGGCGGCATTGAAGTAAGATGAGAGTCGTTTAGATTGTTTAGGATGCGACTGAGAGAACTGGTCCGCACCATGAGCTATCATGTTTGGTTTCACGCAGCCACTTCCTAAAGCCACCAAGTAGAGTGCCATGAAGAATATCATTGCCTTTTTGGCTTCTTCACATGTTTGGTCTATCAGTGGGTTACACTTTGGTGGCTTTAGTTGGGGCATATGTGCTTGTACTGATAGTAGTATGAAACCCTGGGAATACACGTGGCAATACCGAGTTAAACGACAATATACCCATAAGAAAGTTTTGATCAAAACATTATCTGATGATGTTCAAGTTAGGTGTTTGTAGCTGATATTTTTGTAAATAACTTATTTAACCGTGATAAGATCACACACAAAGAGCATGTTGCCTGAACATATACACGTAACTAGTATGCACATAATATATAACAGACTTGGTTAGGAAGCCTTCTTATCTAGATTTTAGTTTTTAGTTGGAAGTTAAGGAAATGGGATGTACAAAAAATTGGAAAGAGATGGTGAACATACAGAAAGCTCGACGAAGCCGAAGATGAGGATGGTCCAGAAGCTGCCTAGAAAAGCGTCCGAGAGGTAGCCGCCGAGGAGGGCAAAGATAAAGATGGTGCCGACAAAGTTGGTGACAATATTTGCCGCTTTAGACAAAGGGAAATGCATTTCGTTTATTACATAAGTTATAAGGTTGTTCCCTACCGCTGCAATCCCCATAATCTCAAAGGCTTGTAATCCTATAAAACAAATAGAATCAAAAGCCACTAATCAATAAGAAATAATATAACCGAGAAATCAAAACATATTACCAAGCTCCATGGAATATAGAATTATAGTTAGTGGGTCCAAAGTTTGGATAAGGTTGAGTTCTTATGGACCAAGACACAAAGAACCAGATGATCCATCTAAGGCTACAAACAAATCTTAACACTTTTTTTTGGGTGAAATTTTATGTAGAAAGAGAGAGATACCAAGAACAAAGAGAGCAGCTCTCATGCCACCATGTTTGGTAGGGTTGGAAGGTCTCCCTCTCCAGTCAACACTTTCTTCTTCAGCCAATTCCCAATTATTCATCTCATCACTAACCTCCTCTTGTTCCCATTTGTTGCTTTGTTTGTTTATCTCTGCCATCACTCACAAACGAAAGTTTCTCTCCCTATATCTCTACTTTAGTTGTGCCAGAGAAAGAGAGAGAGGGAGAAAGATATTGAGAGAGAGAAGAGAGAAGATAGAAGAAAGATTGGTTTTTATTTGGCTTGTCTTTACTATCTTGAGGACAAATAGAGTTGTGTATTGGCCCTTCAATTTATAATAGAGAAGAGGTGAAGAGAAGGGGGAGCCAAAGTCGTTGACTCTTTGGCCTTACGTATAACACTAAGTGTAGATTCTAGGCAGAAACGAAAACGCCGTGTGTCTCTCCTCTCTCACTATTCTTCTCACAGTTAAGCCCCACACGCACTTTCTACAAAAGATGTGGATCTCTCTCCCACCACATATATTCCATTTTTTATTGATTTAGTTTGATGCTTAATTATGATACATTGGTTGAATTTTGGAATGTTATAAAGTATAGAACTATGTGTATGTGTGGGTTTGTGAAAATGATGGGCATAAGGGATGGTTAAATACATTAGATTTTATGCTTTTCTTGATGTTTACTTGTTTGGTCATTCTACTATTTTCATATACTTTTTCAACGTATAATATATATGAGTCAAAAGTTTTGTGTCACTTATATGAATTTCCAAGATACAGCTCACTGTCATCGTGCATGTTTAAAGTATTTGGTTGTAGTTTAGTGGAATTAATAAGGGTCTTCATAGTGTATTTGTTGATAAGGATTGTGTTAAATTATATTTGTGTATTGCTTTTGTGTTGTGCTATCATACTCTGTTTCTCTTTCACTTGTCTCATCATACTTTATTTAGGTCTAATACATTACTTAACTCATTCTTGTACGATAAACATCTTGAATCTTCCACAACATAATTATTTTTGTTCATATTTTCGGAGAACCAGAAAAAAATTGAGAAATTCTTTTAAAAAATCATATTTTGAAATTTTAAATATTGTGGTAATTTCAGAAAAATATTTTAATGATGTTTAAATAAAATAAAACTAATAGTTCTATTTTTGGTCGTGATAATAAGAAGTTTTCTTCCATAAGAAATGGCTTAAAAACCTACAAATAGTTCATGTTAACGGATCATGATAACTCTATTCGAATTCATTAACGAAATAATAAACACTCTATTCTAATTCAGAGATCTTTTTGGGCTCTGTTTGGATTTATATTCTGTTAAAAATGAACCCACCCCTTATCTTTTGGTCTCTTTCTCTGCAAACTTTTTCAACGTGAACGAGACCCCAAAACAAAAACTCGTATATTACACACACATTGACACATATATGCGAGAAAAAGGGAGGTTTGGCTTAGACTCTTGGCCTCATTTTGTTTAGGAAGGCATGAATATGTTTTCATGCAAATACATGTTTACGTGTTTAGTCTTTCGATTTTTGTGGAATGCCAATATTTTAATTTTGTTTGTTTTGGTATGACCAAAAAGCATGTCATACTTTTTTCTGTAACCTCCAAATTTGGACATGTAATATGTAGTTATCTTTAATGATATGTTCTTTTTATTCATGAGACTGGTTTAGAAAGCTTGTTCGGGTAATAAAATTTATTAAGTAACATGCTAGCTGCTATATATGTTTTAACATTAAAAAACATATATATTATTGTACGAAATGTAGTGATTATTCTGGTCAAAATGTGATTAATTTTTTTATTACAATGATCCAGATGATCATTTGGATAAACAAATAAATATTAACAGTTGTTATTTAGCAAACTTCCTATAAAATCATTATATACCATGAGGTCAGGTGTCAAAACAATCTCTAGAATTGTACTATTCTAGGAATATTGTAATTATAAAGTTTAAACTAATCTCTCTAACTATTCTTATAATTTTGGGGTTAAGTACATCCATTTTTGTACTTTTCTGGTTTCTCTTTTATTCTGTCTTTTACTTTCCTTTTCTTCCTCTTTTGTTCATACTCTGAAGCGTGGTCGTCGTTTGCGTTTTCTTGGTAATATTTTAACATCTAATTATTTATGGGTTGCCACTTTTGATTTTCCTCAAGTTCCAAATTCTACACGGCTCTCTCTTTGCTAATATTTTCCTGTTTTAAGCTCAGTCGTCTACTAATAAGATATAATATATATGCGCATGTATTTGATTTGATATATATATATAATATGTATGGACAAATAAATGCTTTTGCAAAATGACAACAAAAAGCAGTTTAATCTGTGGAAAATGTATTTTTCCAAAAAGCTAATTTAGTTACGAATTAATAAATTGCGACGTGCTTAAAGACGATTTGTTATAGTGTAGAGACTAATGCAACTTTCTTGGGTGCTTGACGGTAGTGGTTGGTGATTGGAAGGTAACATTTCACTGTCTTTGATAGTATTTTTTAAATAAAAATATTAAGAAAAATGATGACAAAAGAGCTAAATTATTTAACCACATTATGATCTTAAAGGTTAGAAAAACTTCGATATAAATGTTTTAGAAGATTTTATTCGAATATTTTTTAGATGATACAGAATCTAAGTGAGTATATTATACATTAGATCATTCATGTTTAGTTTTATATTAAAAATTTAATGTATATGTTTAGTAGAAAAGTTTTAGTTTTTATCCCTATCGATTTAAGAACCAAAAAAGTCAAAATCGTATAAAATAAATTGAAACCAGCCTGAATAAACACTCAAGCATTTTTTTTTGGTAGGAAATAAACACTCAAGCCTAAACACGGGTTAAAATATGTATATATATATATATATATGTATATAATAATGAATTAAATTTAACATAAACTTTTTAAATGTTAATTGTGAATAACAAGAAACTAAATACATCAAATATGACGCAAAACAAAACATAATCTCCTCAATTACTCTGAAGTATTGAAGATGAATAAATAAATGTTGTCACTTGGTCGGGAAATAAGTATCACTACAAGATTAGGGGTTCCCAAAATTCACAACGCCTATAAATTCCATTTGTCGGTAATTCAATTTATAATCTCTATTATCTAAAAAGCCTATTGTTTATCCAAGTGGTTTACTATACCATGGAATGATTCCAACTCATTAATCTAATCTAATCTAATACAAAAAGGTATATCGTATGAAGAAATCGGTAGGTTAGGTGTTGGAGTGTGTTGCACTTATTTGAATAGAAATGATTAGATTTAAGGAATATTTCTTTAAGTATTTAATTTTTTTTTTCTTAATGTTCTTTTGTTTAAATGCAAATAGTAATGTGGTGTGGTTTTGATCTCTCTGTGTGTAGAACCAAAGACAGGGAAGCAACTCAAAAAGGTTTGTCGGTGTGAATTACCCACAAGACATCATATCAATGTATCATGTTGTTTTCTCTAAACGTTACACATTATAGTTCTATATTTTCTTTAACAAGTTTTTTGCTTAGTTTTTTTTTAACATTGCATTATGGTTCCATTATCCTCAAAAACAAAAGTCAAATGCAGCGTCAAAAGCTTCTTCCCATTTTAATATTTCAATCTAGGAGTCTAGGACGTGTGTTCATTATCGACATGTATATTATCATAAGTGCTAATCGCTATGTGTAATTTTTCATTTTGTTAAATACTTAGTGAACTTTATGTTGTTATAAATAGGAGATCATGTTAGTCGTTGAAGGATACTCCGATATTTTGGATGATCCATTATCCGACGGATCTGTAGTTGTAATATCCAAATTCAATTTCTTAGTATATCTATGTTTTTGATATCTCTAAAATAGTTGGAAATCCGTGAATATTTGCATTCAATTTTCCCCAAAAGAATATTTTTATAATATAAATATGAAAAATAAAAAATATTATTATAATATAAACTTTGACCGGATTTGGATATAATATAAATAACAAAATATTATTGTTATTATTATTATTATAAAATATTTCATATATGGATATCTGGTTTTTTATTTTAATTATCGAATACACTTTTTCGTTATTCGGATATAATTCCATTCTATTCAATTCAGATATATTGTTTTTCAAAAAACGGATCGGAGCGGTTCTTGAATCGGATCTCGGATAATTGGTCACATTTCTAATAAACATATATTGCAAAAGAAGAATATGGTTAATTTATATTTGCATTTCAAATTCTATATACACCATCTAAAATAACATGTAATTGTCTTCGGATAAATTAATTTTGGGACATACAAATCTACTATATGGTCAATATCCTTTAGGATAAGTGGCATTGTCACCTCTACAAGATCTTTAACCACGAGTGTTGAACTCCTCTCGAAAGATTGTAATGGTTTCTTTTGGATATCATTTCTACGTTGGACTATGAAACTACTTACCTTTTAGCTATGGAATCAAACTATGTTTGAGTCTAAATACCGATTTCAACAACTTTTTTTTTTAGATTCAAGAAGAATATAGACCCTAAATCTAATAATTTCTGCTAGATTTGTCAAAATCTAAAAGACCATATAATAAGTTCTTTAAAAAATCAATTGTAGTATTGGATCTTTTATACACGCGGCAATCAAAGAATGGCTTGTCGGCGTGAAACTGGAAAAATGGTGTCTAAGTTCCAAGTGCAATGCATCTGTAAATGACTATAGTGAAAAGCTTTGTAACTTTATAATATTAAAAGAAGATGAAACATAGGTTGGTGTGAGTTTGAAAATTTGAATCATAAGTACAATGAAACGAAAACAATAGCATTGGTAGCCGCATATTAAAAGTGGCCACAATTTTGTTCTTTAATCTGTAGTGGATCAATTTTTACAATCCCTTTGGCTCATATTTGGATTAATTTTTACTTTCCATTAACAAAAGAAGTCACGTCCAAAATTATGTAAGTTGAAAAAAAATCTGTGAATGTTGATCTATACAAACTTTAGTGTTAATCCATAGGTATGTTAGTACATAGATGATCTATAAAAACTTTAGTGTTAAAACATGGGCAGTATATTCTACAATAGTTTGCACACATGCTGTTTTGCTATTTAAATTTTATTACAATATTGTCAACTAATCTGGTCGATTCGAGCAAGCAATTAAAATGGTTATTCTTAGTTTATTACCAAGAGCTGCCATGGCCTTTGCTTTTGCCAAGCTTATTGGTTATATGCATTTCCATCAAACTCTTAAAAGCATCAGGCCAGTTGATTTGTGCTTGGGTATTATC